CTAAACCCTAAACCCTAAACCCTAAACCCTAAAACCTAAAACCCTAGACCCTGAGCCTTAGGGTGTAGGGCTTACAATCAAAAAAAGGGGTCTGGGGCCTGAAACTTGCGAGCTGAGCATAGGACACGTCTGATGGACGCAATCATCGTGCGGGCATGGATGCGGGCTTGCAGGGTATAGTTTAGGGTTTAGGGTTTAGGGTTTAGGGTTTAGGGTTTAGGGTTTAGGGTTTAGGGTTTAGGGTTTAGGGTTTAGGGTTTAGGGTTTAGGGTTCGGGGTTTTGGGTTTAGGGTTCGGGGTTTAGGGTCTAGGGTTTCTAGGAGTTTAGGGTGTTTAGGATAAGGGCCTACTCAAGATGAACAATCAATAAACATTCGTGGGGGGTTTCAGGCGGACTTGGCAACTACTCTCCTAAACCCCTAAACCCTAAACCCCAAACCCTAAACCCCAAACCCTAAACCCTAAACCCTGAACCCTAAACCCTAACCCTAAACCCTAAACCCTAAACCCTGAACCCTAAACCCTGGGGCTCTTGCATTCTGCCCGAATGCAGCCCTTTTCGTCTGACTGGTTCCATGCGTTCAACCCCCTACCTCAACCCCATACACCCTCAGCCCCATACCCTAAACCCTAAACCCTAAACCCTAAACCCGAAACCCTAAACCCTAAACCCTAAACCCTACACCCTCAACCCTCTACACCCAAAAGCCTATACACCCTACCAAAAACCTATAAACCCTATGCACCCTAAACCCTAAACACCCTAGTCGCTAGAGCATAAGGTTCAAGACTCGGGCTCCTTGACCCTAAACCCTAAACCCTAAACCCTAAACCCTAAACCCTAAACCCTTTTCTCCTTGGCACGCTCTCACTGCCGCCTCGGCCGCTTCCGATCTTCCAGCAATGCGACGATCTCGTCATGGCCTTCTTCGGATGCCACCATCAGAGCCTGAGTTGCCCAGTTCATAGGTTTAGGGTTTAGGGTTTAGGGTTTAGGGTTTAGGGTTTAGGGTTTAGGGTTTAGGGTTTAGGAGGCCCCATAAAGGCGCACACTTTCAGTTCTATAGGGGAGTGTAACATCCCAAAAAACGTGTAAAGTGTAGCCATTCAGCTACTAAGGAGCCGTCTTGCCATCATGGTTGGCCAGGTCCTTGTCAGCGCCCGCTTCCAGCAGCAGGCGAGCCACTCCCACATGACCACGCTTCGATGCGTACATGAGAGCCGTCACACCAAAGCCGTTGGCCCAGTCTTTGTCAGCACCCGATTCCAGCAAGAGCCGGGCTGTACCCACTTGCCCAGAGGAGGAAGCACTTATCCTTGGTAGTTTTGGGGGTTGGCTATTTTATAAGGGAGCCCATAACCCATAGCCCAAAAAAGGGGCTAAACCCTAAACCCTAAACCCTAAACCCTAAACCCTAACCTTTAAACCCTAAACCCTAAACCCTAAACCCTAAACCCTAAACCCTAAACCCTAAACCCTAAACCCTAAACCCTAAACCCTAAACCCTAAACCCTAAACCCTACCAAGCATCAAAGGTGTAAAGGTGCCTCTAGATGCCTGTTCCTTGTCTGCGCCGGCCTCCAAAAGCAGCTGTGCAGCTTCAACATGACCACGACCGGATGCGACCATCAAAGCCGACATGCCTTGGTAGCCCGGCAACCAGATCATCATAAGAGGGCACCCCCCCCCCCCCCCCTTTTAGGGGGTTTAGGGCTATGTTTTATAGGGAACCCCCCCCCTACTTCCCCCCCCCCCCCAAAAAAAAAAAAAACAATAAACAAACACCACTGGGCTACCAAGATACCAATGTTGTTGGTCAAGTCGCTGCTTGCACCAGCCTCCAGCAACACCCTTACAATCTCCACACGGCCCTTGTCCGAGGCTCGAATCAGCGCCGTGTTGCCACGGCCACCGGCACCGGCCAGGTCTTTGTTTGCACCAAACTCCAGCAGCAAGCGTACGACATCCAAGTGGCCATGGCTTGATGCCTGCGTCAGAGCACGTGCGCCGCTGTTGTTGGCCTTGTCGACGTCTGCGCCCGCTTCCAGCAGCAAGCGGGCGTTTTCAAGGCGGCCGAAGCGACATGCACTGACCTCATGCGCGAGCCCTATAGTAGGGATCGTATACTCATAGACCCTAAACCCTAAACCCTAAACCCTAGACCGTCTACTGTGCTAACAAAAGCTACGAAAGCCACTTAAGCTTTTGCGGGTTCATTTTCGTCCCCAAGGTACAAGCGGTGTTTGGCCACGGGCGTTCACCAAGTTCGGGTCCTGGCCCGCTGCTTTTTTGTACTACCTTTAGCTTGTTTTTCTTCTGTTCATATTTCATTTTTTCTTTTGTTATTCACCTATTCATATCTATAAATGAATATATTTATATATATATATTTATTTATTTATTTATGTACTTATTTGTTTGTTATTTTGTTTTTGTTGTTTACCTTTTTTTTGGGGGGGGGGGAGGGGGGTTTTTAGGTGCAGGGTTCAGGGTTAGGAGGGGGGGGGGGGCTATGGGTCGTACAACTCAATAGAAGCGGTGGGGGATTGGGCCCAAGAAGCTCAGACTCAAATCCCCTCCTCCGTCCTGTTGCTGCAGCAGCAAGGCCTCCACCTGGTTACACTCGCCATCAGACGCGATTCGAAGTTTCCCGTTGGGGGCCTTCCGAAAAAGGGGGGTACCGTATTGGGGTCCTTATCTATAAGGAGAACCTATTATTTGGCCCGCCTGAGCAGGGGTGCCACGTCTGGCGTGCTCTGCCAGCTGATGCACTTCAAAGGGTGAAGGGCTGTTGAAGGGAAGCAGCAAGAGCTGGAGGACCATGGAGGTGTGGAGCTCGGCCATTTCATCCAAGATCGTGTCGGTGCCGTTCAGAAGCAGCCTCTGCCTGAAACGCGGGGGCATGCCGTGCAGGTGGTTCAAGCGCTGCTTCAGGGCCTTCACGTTGCTCAGCTCCTCTGGTGGTACTGCCGCCACCTCCTCCCCCGAGATCCGGAGGACGCGGAGCATCGCGTACGAGGGCGGATGTCAGAGGTCTAGCTGCTACCTCCCTAATTATAAGGGTCCATGTACCTTATGATGAAGGTACCCTTAAGGCCCAAGTATACCCACCCTAAACCCTAAACCCTAAACCCTAAACCCCAAACCCCAAACCCCAAACCCTATTTAGGTACATGAACCCTGAGGGCCTGCAACCTGACAAGAGAAGCTCATGCTGCGATGTGCTGCGGCAGCTTGCATGAAGCCGTTTCAGGAGCTCACAGCATAACATGCTGGGGCATCCCTATCCTTTCAGACCCTTAACCCGTTTAAGTAGGGTTAGGGTTTAGGGTTTAGGGGTTAGGGTTTAGGGTCTAGGGTCTAGGGTTTAGGGTTTAGGGTTTAGGGTTGGACTCGCTTTAGTGTCCAGGGCTCCCCCCTCCCCCCCCCCCCCCCCCCCCCCCCAAGCAATTTTGGGGTTTCGCGGGTCCTCTAGAAACTGGGTTGGGGTCTGGGGGTAGGGCGGGTAGGGGTCGAGGATTACGCCTTGAGGCTTGAGGGTCTAAGCTTTCCAGGCTTTGTGGCTCCCTGGCCAGGGGGGCTGCGGACTCATGCGGGTAAGCCAAACAACTGACTAAACCGAATCAGTGCAGCTAGGGCCTGTTTCGTAATGAAACTTAGAAAGGAAGGTAAACAAAGCCGGACACCCAGACAAAAAATCATCGGCGTTCCTTTTTCAACCTTGGAGCTGTAGGAGGCCCATCATGGATGGCACCCCCAGTGCACAACCCCCCCCCCCCCCCCCGGAATCCACAAACTCCAAAAGCTCTGTAAGTCCGCCACAAGCAGAATCCTTATAAGCCCGTTGGGCCCGAACAAGAGCCCAAGCCCACCCAATCTAAGAATCCCCAAACCCTAAACCCTAAACCCTAAACCCTAAACCCTAAACCCTAAACCCTAAACCCTAAACCCTAAACCCTAAACCCTAAACCCTAAACCCTAGACCCTAGACCCTAAACCCTAAACCCTAAACCCTAAACCCTAAACCCTAAACCCTAAACCCTAACCCTAAACCCTAAACCCTAAACCCTAAACCCTAAACCCATGAATACCCTAAACCCTAAACCCATGAATACCCTAAAATCCCAAAGCCTGCTAGCCCGGCCCTTCATTGCAGAAGATTCCTCCGATTGCGCTTCGGGCTCAAGTTCTATAGGGCCTGGGGCTGAGGAATTTGGACATTGAGGAGTGTTCTCTGCGAATTCGTTCATGAAAAAAGTCCTAAGGTCCTAAGATGTCTGCTCTTGACAGAAAGGGGATGTCTGCTCTTGACAGAAAGGGGTCTTGAGGGCTCTCGGGGGTAGGTCTCTAAACCCTAAACCCTAAACCCGAAACCCTAAACCCCAAACCCTAAACCCTAAACCCCAAACCCTAAACCCTAACCGCGCCTCGGCCTGGCAGCTGCGGCCGCAAGAGTACTCGACCACAATTTCGGGGCCTTGGGTGCGCCACCCTAAACCCTAAACCCTAAACCCGAAACCATAAACCCTAAACCCTAAACCCCAAACCCGAAACCCTCTCTGCCCTGATAGTTTTAGTACCTTCTCGGTCACTTGATATGGTCTGCGGGCTATGTTTTGAGAAACTCAGGGGTGAGAAGAAGACATCCTTCCCCAAGGCAGGCCCGAGCGCCGGACATTGTCCCTTGCGAATGATGTCCTCGGTGTGTAGGGTTTTGGGGTTTGGGTTTTGGGGTTTAGGGTTTCGGGTTTCGGGTTTCGGGTTTAGGGCCTGGGTTTAGGGTTTCGGGTTTCGGGCTTAGGGTTTAGGGTTCAGGCGTGTCGAGAGCTAAATCCTTGAATACGCCGAAGCCAACAGATCCTATAGACCTCATAAACCCCTCTAACCCGGAAGTGCAAAAGGAACACTTGGGTTTAGGGTTGAGGGTTGAGAGCTGAGGGCTTAGCCTAAACCCTAACCCTAAACCCTCCACCCTAAACCCTAAACCCTGGGTTCAGAAGAGATCAAACAAACCTCATCCGCAAGGCACACGTCCAGGCGCCGGTTCTAAGGTTTAGGGTGTAGGGGGGGGGGGTTTAGGGTTTAGGTTTTCATGTGATTATTCCGCCAACGCGCTGCGAACTTCATGGTCGTTTCTTTGTTTTTAGACGGTTTCCTTCGTTTCCTTCGGGGTTTTCCTTCGGGGTTTTCCTTCGGTTTGCTGGCTGGGGGGGGGGGGATAAGAACGTCATTCATATTGCGTCCATGCCCAAAACTCTGCCATTTACAGCGTTTTCGCCTCTTTGTACAACATACTGCACAAGGATGTGGACCAAGAAAATCTGTCACAAGCGTTTACCCTGCACTAAAAAATTTCAAACATGCTGTCTCCAAAAGAATAGTTTATGGAACAGGAAGGCAGCCGCCTAGACCCTCATTCACCGTAGCCCAAAACCCAATAACCTCCCTAAACCCTCGAATCCCACTCTCTCTTTCTCTCACGTCCTAAACCCTGAACCCTGAACCCTGAACCCTAAACCCTAAACCCTAAACCCTAAACCCTAATGCTGAGCCGCTCCCAGGATGGCGGCCAAATCGCGCACGGCCCTGACAGGAAATGGCGAGGCTTAGTGAGGAGGAGGGTTTAGGGTTTAGGGTTTAGGGTTTCGGTTTAGGGTTTAGAGTTTAGGGTTTAGGATTTAGGGTTTGGGGCTTGGGGTTTAGGGGTTTAGGGGTTGGTGTTTAGGGATTGGGGTTTAGGGTTTAGGGTTTGGTCATAGGTGCCCATAGCCATGCTCCCTCAACAACCATCCCCCCTCAGATTAGCGTGCTGCTTCATTTGTCTGGTTTCGGCTTGCTGGGAGTAACATGGTCTGGTCTTGCATTCTCTTAAGAGGCTGTGTGCTTGCTGCCTTATACAGTTCTCGAAGGCAAACCATGTATCCGTTGAGGCAGTTTGAAGGGGACTCATTGGCATGCCAAGTAATGTGTGGGCACACCTTCGTACTCAGCTCTTTGCTTCCTTATGTCGCCATGTTTTCTTTGTGGCTTGCCCCTGGCCTCGTGGGGCAGCACAAGCCTTTGGTTATCTGATAAACTCTACTCCATATTGCTTCATGGACTTCCTGGAGCTGGCGGGTGGCAGACGTGCCAGTGCAGCCAAGCCACTGTGCTGCAGTGTTTTTTTCTTGTTTTGGTCTCCCAGCCTGATCCAATCTTTATTGAGTCAGCACATGTCTCATTTGCGTATCTCAGTCTGATGAGACGAATCTTGTGGTTATGGGCCCTGGCCCGACTTTCTTGCTCCCGACAGAGCAAGGAGACTCGACTTGATTTGTTTTTGAGAGCACTACAGAAGTGCAAAGTCCCACATCAAGTTGAATGTCTTGTGCTAGGGGTTCAAGGTTTGGGGTGTAGGGTTTAGAGTGCAGTAAAGAAGGATTTGGCCTAGGCTTTTATTGTAACGGTTTGGTCGGTTTTAATTTAAGGTTTGCAGTTGAGCCCGGGTGAGGGCTTGGAGTTTGGGATAGTTAGGCCTAAGCCCCTGTATCTACTTCGCTAAACACCGAAAAAAGTACAACTCAGCTTACCCTGGGGTCTGGACTCCATCCATACTTTTGCTGGGTTCTTGTATGGAGCTTATCTTGCGTAGTAGACTAGAGAGATGATAGCACTCTTTGCAAAGGCAAGTGAATCATCGTTGCCTCCTGCTCTGCAGTGCCCAGGCGGGTTTGGGTGGTTTGAGTTTGGGCCAGTATACAGGTATGTGAAGTCTGTTGACTACTGACGACTCGGAGTTCGGGTGTGGGTTTTGCTGTTGGTGAGATGGGTCTATATTGTGGTTGATTTTGCGGGTTGCCCGGGAAGAGACTTCGCAGGTAATAATGCAGGCAACAGGACAAGCAGTTTGGGCATAGACACAAACCCTCCCCAACATGTGTCAAACAACATCCAGTTAATGTGTGGGCTGCTACTGCTAGAGTTCTATACAGTGAAGCCGAACCTGTAATAGAGGCAAGTAAATACAAATTTCGCCATGGGCTCCTGAAACGCCCAATGTCAGAGCTTGCAGGCTGAAGGTACTCCCAAGACGTTTCTAAGGCTTGTCCTGTCTGCCCTTGCCGTTTTTGAACTCAGGCTGGTTCCATGTTGGCAGTCCCGGCCACGATGGCTCCGCCGCTTGTCTATCTATCTGGAACAATGCCTTTGCTAGCCAGATTGTCTAGGGATTGGCATGTCAAAAAGCTGCTAGCTGCATTCCCTCCAGTTTTCGTTTGCCGGGGACAGCAGTTTGGATTTCGGAGATCAGGCACTGCATTTTGCTTCAATTTTTTAAATTGCGCACACACACACACACACACCAGCACAAGGGAGGTTTTCTCTTCGCTTACAGCTGGCAATGTACCTGCATTGAGAGCTGAAATATTGCCAATCCTCGCTCGCACACACCAGCAGCAAGTCCGGGATTTCTTTGCCCAGGCAAGAATGCTGATCATCTTCACTCTGCGATCGATGGCCTATATCTATGTTCCGTCACCCGGACCTCGTGCCTTGTCGTGGCTTCGCAAGATTAAGATGCTGCTCTTCCCAGATTTAGATGCAACACATGTTTTCTTCATAAGTCAAGGGCCTTGGTTCATACATTATTTTCTGTTCTGGCAGGTTTCTTTGGTTGAGTCTTAGGTCTTGTTGTGTCGATTAGGGAATGTTTTTTTTTGCTCAGGCTTTGTGAAGCTGAGGTTAAAGGGCAATTAAACTACGGTTGCCTCTGTGTCTCAGCCAGAATTTGATAGCAGCCAGGACTGGTCTGTAACATTGGGCGCTTTCTGGTTTTTAGCTTTCTGACTTGGAACTATCGCATTTGGGCAGGTTTAGGGTTTAGGGTTTAGGGTTTAGGGTTTAGGGTTTAGGGTTTAGGGTTTAGGGTTTAGGGTTTAGGGTTTAGGGTTTAGGGTTTAGGGTTTAGGGTTTAGGGTTAGGGTTTAGGGTTTAGGGTTTAAGGTTTAGGGTTTAGGGTTTAGGGTTCAGGGTTTAGGGTTTAGGGCTTAGGGGGGTTTACACTAAATGCTGGAGTGAATCGCCCACTTCTTGTCACAATGCCCCCTGGAGCCCTTGTACGATGTTCGTCTCAGTCTGTTCATGTAGATCAAAGGTAGCTCATCATTGTGTTCTGAGCCAGCAAGTGCTGGCCGATATGCTATTTCCAGTGAGCTGGGACATTTCTCGAGCTCGGAGATGTTTCTTCTTGATGGCCTCCTATTTGTATGCGACAAGCATCGGGTGCTTGGCTGCAGTCCTGTGCAGACTGCAGGGTGCACACTGGCTGGATCTTCCCTGGTTCTTGAAAGGGGCTGGAAGGGACTGGAGTCATGTTCCGCCTTTGTTTGTCACAAGGCAGCATGAATGGTTGATTGCAGACAGCACAGTTATCGGCTTTCACGCCTGCTTTCAAATAACAGGCACTTTCTCCATAATTTACAATTCCTGCCGGGCTCTTGCATTCGTGCTTTGCTTGTGTTTGTAAAATTGCTCTTGCAGGATGCTTCAGTTCCCATTCTGGCAGTTTTCCGGTTGTTGTAGTAATGTCTCCGCCAGTCGCACACGAATCGTACTCGTGACCCGAACCGGAGATTTGCTTGCTCTGTGTGGGTCTCGTTCCTTGGCAGCATGGCCTCCCGAATGCCGAGGAGGACCCTGGAGTTCTTCTAAGTCGCTCTGAATTGCGCGGGTTCGAGGGCTTTGCCTCGTCTAGTAACCCTAAACCCTAAACCCTAAGCTCTATTTGGCTGCAGGGTTTTTAAGCTGGAGCTTGCAGGGCTTTTGGGTGTTCAGTCTTGTGGGCCAAAAGTCAGGGTCAGGTGTAGAGTTTAGGGGTCCAGGGCTTTAGGGTTTAGGGTTTTGCTTTAGTACCTTGAGGTTCCTAGCATGAGACTACCGTTTCCCCACAGGCCCTCGTCGCTTTGGTTTAGCAAACAAATGGGAACCATGTGAGTGATTGTATGTTTGTTCAAATTCCTCGTGTCAGAAAGTAAGGGGAGTTCAACAGATATACACCTGCCTGAATTGAGCACACTTTTTTTAGCATTCGAGGTTTCTGTTTGGCTTTAGTTTCTTCATTCCTTTACAAAAGCACGTGTGGTATGCCCAAAGCATTTCGGTGTGAACAGGGCAAAGCCAGCTGGGCATGCAGTTTGTCTGCCCATGTTTTCACAAGCTATGTTCCAGAGGACCAACACTTCGAAGTCTTTGAGTGCCGAGACGGACGAGCCAGAAAAGGTGTCAGCCGCAAGCTTTCTGATGAGATCGGCAACCGATCGCTTACAGCAAGCCTTTGGAGGCCCATGGGCTTTAATTGTTTTGCTGTTGCACCCCTAGGGCTCCGGTTAAGTCTTGCCTTCTCGGGTTGTCCTTAGATTTGTGAAGGTGAGGCATCCGATGGCAAGAGCAAGACGGGGCGCAAAAACAAGGGCAAGAAGGACAAGAAGAAGAAACGAGCCTCAACTAACAGATGAGGCTTTGAGCTTGAGGTGTAGGTCTCTGTTTGGTCTTTGCTCCAATCTCTCCCAGGTGACTCCTCCGACTGTGCAGAGGAGGAGGAGGAGGAAGAGAGTGTCTGTGAGATCGACAAGCTGGCTGTGATACCCATCTCGGCCAAGGAGTGCCTTCGAGGGGCCAAGCAGGTTCGTGTTGAGGACTTGAGTGCCCGTCAGCTAGCCCTCAGTCTTTCGGGTTGTCTCAGTTTCGTTTTGCCCTCCGACCTGCTTGAGCTGGGAGGGGAGAAGGATTCTCGTCTAAACTGCTTGTGAAGTGGGGCAAGAATTGTGCATGAATGTATGCTTCCATGCAAGAGCTTCTTAGCAGTCAGTCCTGAGACCTGTGTTCCTTCAATATAAGGAAGCTCTGCTGCTGGAAACCGTCCAACGAGCGAAGAAGCAGAAGGACAAGCTCACTGAAAACGCAGCTCTGGAGAAGGCCTCCCTCCCTAAGGGTAGCTAGCTGTAGCACTTTTTGGGTGTCTTTGCTGCCAAGCCTTTCGTCTGTGATATGGTTGGTGCATTCACATTTGCTGGTTTCTGTTTCGAGGTCAAGGCTGCCGGCAAAGTCTGGCGAAGTCGTTTGTCCTCTGTCATGGTTACTCGCACCATGTCTGCATTCGCATTGTTAAAGAGATCCCGAGAGTTGACGCCCACAATGTTGGTGTCGTTGCTTGCACTTCAGTTCTGGGTAAGAAGCCGGCCGATGTCAACATCGCAACTTGCAAGAGCATGGATGACATCACTCAGCTCTTCAAGAGCATGTGCGAGAGGCATCGAAGGACTCTTGCGGGGCTTGCTTGTGATCACTTCAAAAATCTTCATGCTTCTTCTCGTCATGAGTACGGCCATGGGTTAGATCTCTGCAGTAGGAAACAGAGCACCAGCTTCCGGGAAATCTGCAAGAAGTACGAGACAAGCCTGGAGAAGTTTCGCAAGGACGAATAGTCACACTGAGCCAGGATGTCATTACTACAGGGTTCGGTGCTGCACCATTTGTCCAGCTGCCCCAACTCGCGGTGTTTCAGCTCAGGGTTTCAGCTTTTTCGTGTAGCCTCCTGTCCCCACCCCTTTTCATGGCTTCATCTCAACAGGCACGTTTGGATTGACAAAGGTTGCACGAGTGGTGGTGCAGATCTTCTCCGTTAGGGGAAAAGCAAGCTGAACGTCGACCACAGTAGCGATTCCGATTGCAGCTGCACAAGGCTTTGGGAATAGGAGACCCCTCTACACCCTGTGCAGACCTCACATACTCTTGTTCACGAAGTGACACAGCCTCCTCCCGTGTGGCAACTGCTGCCTCCCTTCGACTCACATCGGCCTCCCGTTTGTCCAGCTCGGCCCAAAGCCGACGAAGGATAACATCAGCAGGATCTGGTGTGGCATGCCTCATTGCAACGACCAACGAAGACGATTCCGAGGCTGCTGAGCGAAAGAGTGCCAAGAGAGCAGGACGCGGGCCCTGAAGGCCCCGTTTCGCCCGGTTTCGCCCCGTTTCCGGCCAGATCTATGAACCCAGGATCAGGTAGAAAAATAGTTCGCATTTCTATGCTTTAGTTTGGCTCTGCTGTGTGTCATTCCCTTGCTAGGACAAACCAGCATGGGAGTCCAGGGATGTAGAAGGTGTGCTCTACCTCAGGGTTTAGGGTTTAGGGTTTAGGGTTTAGGGTTTAGGGTTTAGGGTTTAGGGTTTAGGGTTTAGGGTTTAGGGTTTAGGGTTTAGCTTGGGCGCAATGGGTTCCGTTTGGGGTGTTTCTGTCGATTGGTTGATGCCATTTCTGTTCGGGTTATGAACTTCAGGGCTGCTCCGTGTTGCCGGTGTGAAGATAGGCGACATAGCAGGTACCAGGGGTGTAAGCAGAATTCACAATGACAGTCGCTAATATTGCAACCCTTGCATTTATGATTGTCATTGTGAATTCGAGTAGCAAGTTTGTCGAGTAGCAAGTTTGAACCTTGTAGCCCTCGTACGTGTTTGGAACACACACAGACGCGAGAATGACCAGGTAAGGATTTGCCCCCAAGTTGAGGGTTTAGGGTATAGGCCCGTTTAGGGTTTAGGGTTTAGGGTTCGGGTTTAGGGTTTACGTTTAGGGTTTAGGGTGTAGGGCTTACTGTGTCACAAACTCATCTCCCTTGCACTTTTTGAAACCTGACAGGGTCGACCCCGAACCTGAAAGGCTTGAAGCACTGTTATGTCTTTTGTGTTTATTGGTTGCCCCCAAGCCCTATAGTCTAAAGCTTTCTGTTTTCGGGTTTGTGTTGTTTCCCAAAGGCTCCTAAACGATGTAGCCCTGACATTTACGATTGTCATTGCGAAGTCGAGTAGCAAGTTTCAACCCTGAAGCCCTCGTAGGTGTGTGCAACACACACACACAGACACGACAATGACCAGGATTTTCCCCACGTTTAGGGTTAAGGTGTTAGGATTTAGAGTTTAGGCCTGTTTAGGGGTTTTTGGGTTTAGGGTTGAGGGTTTACGGTTTAGGGTTTAGGGTTTATGGTTTACTTGCGAGAAACTTATCTCCTTCGCACTTTTTGAAACCTGATAGGGTCGACCCTGAACCTGGAAGGCTTAAAGCACTGCTCTGCGTTTTGTGCCCAGATTAACCGTTGTTCTCTGAACCCCCGTCTCTTTGGCTTCCAGAAACCCACAACCAGGCAATCCTTCACCCTGGCCCAGCAGTCGCATAAACACATGCCTTCAATTGAAAGAACAAGCATCTAGTTGGTATTCTCCTAATGAAATTATTCTGTGCCCCAATGAACAACAAAGCCTTTGGTCGCAAAGCTGAAGCAGTCAGGACTCAAGGCCCAAGCCCCTTGTGTGCTCCTAAATTATGTAGCAGGTTATACTACGTCAGTTCAGGATTTTGCGAACCAGTTCCTATGTGTGTAAGCTCTGCCTCGTAGGCCCTGTGCATGCAAAGTCGGCTGTGGTCTCAAGACCCCACACTTCAACCCCGAGACTACTTCGAGCTTCAAACCCGATTCCGGGTTTTGGGCAAGTTTAGGGTTTCGGGTTTACGGTTTTAGGGTGATTTAGGGTTTAGGGCTGAGGGCTGAGGGTTGAGGGTTCAGGGTTGAGGGTAGAGGGTAGAGGGTTGAGGGTTGAGGCTTGAGGCTTCAGGTTTGGGGTTTGGGGTTTTTTGGTTCAGGATTTAGGGATTAGGGGTTAGGTTAAATAGCCTGAGGCTAACGCCCTTGATTCAGGGAACTCATGGTTAGTAGCTCCAGAATGTACTATCACTGAGATTCAGAAAGCTTGGAGATACCCCAACAAATCTAACGGGCAATGTACATCACAGTGTCGTGCTTTCACTTGCCCTAATCCCTAAACCCTAAACCCTAAGCCCTTAACACTTTTCCCTAAAAACCCTAGACCCTTATACACCCTGAACCCTAAACCCTCAACCCTTTTGCATAAACCCTAAACACTGAACTAGGAACATAAGACGCTGGCTTTGGCTTGCAGGAGGCAGAGGAAGACATGAAGGAGATGGCCAAGCACAGCCCTTGCAAGGGTGAAGTGAAAAAGGAGCCCCCGACCTCAGCCAGGAAGGCGAAGCGAAGGCCGGACCTGAAGCTCACCACCCCCCTGAAAAGAAAGCAGCTTCGCAGGAAGCTCTTCGACACCCCCCCATTGCGAGTGAAGAAGGAGGAGGAGATGGATGAAGAGGAAGACAACATGGAGCCGGGGGAGGAGGACTCCCGTGGCCTGACGACTCCCCCGCGCAAAGCGCGCTCAGGGCACGATTCGGGCTCTGATGAGGATGAGGATCTGTGGTCGGGTGAGTTTCGTGCCAACAAAAGAAAGAAGACGGGCCAGGCAGCCAAGCCAAGGTCCATCAAGAAGACAAGAAAGGCCCCATGCCAATCTGAGCACAGCAGTGCCTGCACGGACACGAGCCCAAGCTGGGAGCTCACCCCGAACCCCACCCCCAACAAGCGCCACAAGAAGCAGGTTGAGAAGGTAGATGCCCAGCGAGCGAATTTCCAACCGGCCTGGATTGACTTGATCCCGATGCCCTCGTCCCTGCCCCTTGACTGGCTTGTTTTTTGACTGCTATTTTTTTGCTTCCTCCCGGCTTTGCCTTTGTTCGCCTGTGTTGCTTAATCGTTTTGCTACTGGAGGAACGACCAGGAGAACCTGCTTGGCATTCTGATCCAGGAGGACTTCGTGACTTTGCAGGATGGAAAGGAGCACTTGGCCGGTACGGACTCAGGCTTGTGTGGACTGTTGTGATGTTTCGTAGGCACTGTTCTGTTCTGGTTCTTGTTTAGAGGCGACCTGCTCTCGATGCTCAGCAATGCCTCGCAAGAGATGTTTGCCAACATGACTGTGAAGGGCAAGAAGCTGTTCATGTCCTTGCCCAAACTGTTGCAGGCTGTGCCTGCTCGCAGTGCTTTGCTCACTGAGTCCCTACGTTTCCTCCTAAACCTCCGAAGGAGCATTTCGGCCAGCAGGAGCAGGAGCCGGACCAGAAACTCGAAGAAGCACCAGGAAGCTGTAAACCCCAAACCCTAACCCTTCACCCTTAACCCTTAACCCTCAACCCTAAACCCTAAAACCCTAAGCCCTAAACTCTAAACCCTATACCCTGAACCCTAAACCCTAAACCCTAAACCTTACACCCTAAACCCTAAACCCTAAACCCTAAACCCTAAACCCTAAACCCTAAACCCTAAACCTTACACCCTAAACCCTAAAGTCTCAACCCTAAACCCCAAACCCTGAACCCTAATGAAAGAGTGCTTTCGTTCTTTGGGTTCTACGCAGGACCAGTGAAGCCGGAGCCATGAAGGGAGCTCTGCTTGAAGCTCCTTGCGATATCAATATGCTGCTGCCAGCATTGTTGGATTTTGTGTGATCGATCCCGGAAGCTGAACTCCCGAGCGCTTCCTTAGACCTCGTTCACTGCCAACAAGAAGCATCCCGGGCCTGAAGAAAAATCTTCTGAACATGTGTCGAGCTTCTTGTTGTTGTTTGAAGTGCAGGGTTGCATTCCTTGTCTTCTGACGCCCACTTGTTCAAGGCACGATGTGCACACGAACTAGGAAGTCTTTTCAGCCTCATAGGCAGTGCTGTGTTTTTGGGCCTTACATTACGAAGCCTCGAAGCCAAGCCTGTTAGGATTCAAAGTTTGGGCTCTGACTCCGTTTGTACAGTTTCTCCATGGAGTCCCGGAAGGCTCCTCTTGCAGGCCGGGTCTTCTGGGTTTCAGGGGCTGCCAGGAAGGGGTATTTGGAGATTCCTGGGCTGAGAATTCTTGGTTTTTTTTTTTGGGGGGGGGGGGATGGTTCTTCTTCTTTTAGTACTGGGCCACTGGACCGAGCCCGGCTGCCTTTGCCCGTGCTGCCTCGGCCCCCGTGCTGCTTCCCCGGGCAGGTGGTGGCAGGTTTGGGCTTCGTGACGGCGGGTGGTCGTGAGTCGCAGCCACCTGGTGGCAAGGAGGCCAACACACCACGGCTGAAGCAGAATGTTGAAATGCAAAGCTGCCTAAATTTAGTCCCGCAATGGAAACTCAAGCAAAATGCCCTGCATTTGTGCGTGCTGCTTCGTTTGCGTGCTGCTGCATTTCCCCGTGCCACTTCAGCCGGTGAGTACTGGCCTCCTACCCCCCACGTGCCGAAAACTCCGGCCTCCTAGGCACCCCAAACCCATGGAAGCAGAATGCAGTTGCGAGGCAGCATGCTGAAACTCAGGCTGGCATGGAGAAATGGCTTCGGGGCAGACTGGAGGAGTACTCCCGGTGCCTGGCTGCATTTTCCCGTGCTGCCTCACTTTACAGTGCTGCATCCTCGGGCTTATGGTTTCGCTTTCTCGAAATTTCTAAGGATAGAGGATGCCGCACTGAAGCAAGATTTTCGAATGCGTTTCGTTGGGAAACTGAAGCTTTTGGATGAGAAGACCCGTGCTGGTCAGAATCTCGAAGAGATCGAGGCCATCATGAGTCCCGGCGACTGGGAGGCGCTAACACAGTAGTAGCATGTCTGCCTGTGTGTATTCGTGTGTGTACGTGTGTTTGGGTTTGGGGCTGTTGGTATGTTTCGGTGGTAAAAGTTTCGTACAAATTCCTGGTCTGTCGCCAGGACTTGCTGCACAGTGTTCGGAAGGATGCTGCCCAACTGGGTCTGACAATCAGACCTCGCCTTCCCGTTGCCGCTACAGTGGCAGAGCCACAAGTTGCACAAGAAGAACAGCCCACAACAGCCGACACCCAGCCCAGCCCTGCAGACAGCCCCGGGCAACACACAGTCTACACACCGAATGAGCTCTGCTATCTCCGAACAAAATCCGGGCGACTGGGGGTTTTGCAGATTCATCGAGCTTTCCAGTCGAATTGGGCCTGCAGTCTACATTGTTTCTGCTCGGTCTTGCTTGTGCTCCCGTACTCCCGATTTTTCCCAGGTTTCTCCGGAACATGCAAGTCTTGGATACCGGCATTTGTTTCGAGTTCAGCAGCTGTGGCCGCTATGCGAAAGAAAGCAGGCCTTTCACAACTGGTACACCAAGTTGATCCCCGGCTTCGACTTATGAAAGCATCCACTTACTGAAGCCAAACTTTGAGTTTTGCCAGAAACATTTCCCAGGCAAGACAATGTGACGGACGACCTTGCCCTGGCTTGGAGCACGGAGATATGCAAGCATATCATCAGGCGATCTGAGTACAAGGGCCGAAAAGCCATTGCTACAGATCAAGAACTCAAGCTTCCCTTCGATGGATTGACAATGCCCGGAGCCCTTTTCATGGTCACTTGTTTTTGGTTGGTTCTGTCGTTTCCTTACTATGAAACGAACAATAATGATTCCACTCCTTTTTTGGTTTCGATTCGAAATTCGTATGTCCACAGACCAAGATTGCCTCTGTGCTACAAGTTCGGGGGTGCAAGCCGCCACTTCAGCAGGGAGCTTTGCGCGCATTTCAGATGCTTTTCGACAACCTATGCCCTGGAAACCTCACACTTGCCATGCTGCCCAACCAGCCGGAATGCTACCCGACTAGAACTGCTTGGCTAAACTGTAGCACTCGCTACTTCTTCTGTGTTGTCGCTGCAGGCTCCATTGTGTGTGAGGGCCACGACCTGAACTTGGAATCCTTGGAAGGCTTCCTGGAGTTCGTGGGTTGGAGAGACAGGCCCGTAAGTATTCCTTGTGCTCAAGCACAGTTCAAAAGTTCTTTGTAGCCAGTTTGCTTTGGAGGTGGGCCAAATTCGGCATGCTTTCCCAGGCCCAGCGACGATTCCACGCAGGCACTGTCATCGTTCCAAAGAGTCCATGCATTCGGAAGAACGGTGCCTCTGTGCACAAAAGATAAACAATAGCTGAGGTGTGAAGATGCATCACTTCGTGTTCTTCGTGCTCCGAGCACCATACAATGAGAAAGTTTGCCAGGCAAGCAGTTGTGACGAGGCTACATTTGCAAGCAGTCACACACAAGAACCCTACAGGAGAGGATCAGTGTGGGAAGAATTCAGAAAAGGCTCATACACATCGTCGCCCAGCATGCCGAAAAACACTTGCCCTCGATTGTGTCCTCCGCAATTCCTCTACCGGAAGATTCCGACACCTTTCACCCGGCCCTGGTGCTACTTCTTTGCAGTAGTGTTGTCGATTTTTCGGATGTCTTCTAGATGGGAATGAAATGTGCTCTGCCAAAACTCATCCAAGGGATGGCCGTGCTCTCAAAAAAGAAGCAAAGCCAAAGCATGTCTTGACACTTCAGAGATTTCTTTCCAGAGCTTCGGGATTCAACTCTGATGCTGCTGACAGCACATTGCACGAGTTGGGGCTGTCCGACTTGTGTCCCTCGCACTACCACAGGCGCCCACGCATGCTGCTGTTGAAAACCTTTAGGTTCGATCGTGAACGTGCTTGCACTACTTGTCTTGTCTGTGCTCTGACGCCCCAGGGTGTCGACCGACTTTGCATTTCGGTATTTCCGGAAAGCTGCAACTGTGCTCGGCCAGGAGACTTGCACTGTAGCAGACCACAAAAGACAGTCGACGCCTGTTGGTTGTACTTTGTTTGGAGGAGCTCCAAGCTATGGCTTTCAAGTCCTTGAATATCATTTCGGACGCCTCCTTCAAGGCACGAAAAGATGCAACTCTCAGGCAGTGATATCGTGGAACCCTTTACGTTCCCACACAATCCCTCCCCCCTAATACTAAATGCACCCCCCTCAAAAAAATGTCGACAAGTGTTTTTTTAGGGCGGGTTTATCCAAATGTCGTATTGGTACATTGGGTCCAAAACAAGGGCCACTTGAAATAATTAGGAGAGACAGAGTGAGTGAGTGAGTGACTGAGTGAGAGAGAGCAAGAGCAGAGAGAGAGAGAGAGAGAGAGAGAGAGAGAGAGAGAGAGAGAGAGAGAGAGAGAGAGAGAGAGGGGGAAGGGAGAGGCAAGGGTTTAGGGTTGAGGGTGTAGGGTCGAGGGTTTAGGGCCAGGGTTGAGACTCTCCCAAAACCCTCAACCCTAAACTTGCCTAAACCCTAAACCCGAAGCCCTGAACCCTGAACCCTAAACCCCAACCCTAAACCCTAAACCGTAAACCCTAAACCCTAAACCTTGGGGGGGGGGGGGGGGGGGGGGGATGCTTAATAGAAGGGTGAAAGGATTTACGCCCACCGACTTGTGACTCAAGTCTTTTGGTTGCCCCCAAAGAAAGAGCCTTTCTGAGGTATGGCTACCCCTCGTTTCGGTAGGGGACACGATGGCAAGCTGGACTTTGCAGCAGTTGAGCACATTGCAAAGCAGCACTGTGTCGCACGACAAGAAGCTGGAAGCATGCCAAGAAGTGTCCGACAAGCTGAACGAGAACATCTTGAAGGGAGAAACACGAGCGACAGCACTTGCAAAAATGAGTCTTGGCAGGTATTACAAAGTTCAAAGGAAAACGCAACACAACACATGCATGCAAGTCTAGTTCGGACTTTCATTCACTGAGGCCGAAAACCATCGGAAAAATCAAGCAGCAAAGGCTGGCATCGAAAGAGCATTTGCAAGCTGTGCTACATGTTACAAGTTTGCTCGGCTTGGATTTGGAGCCGCCCGAACGACGCCTGGCACCTGCCGAACCTCGAGAGCAAGTGTCACGACACATGTATGGCTCGGATGCATTTCTCTTCGATCAGAAAACGGGTGAGGGGTGGTGGCAAATGCCGGACAGCGAAGTGATCCGCCTGGTTCTCCAGGCCGATCAAGGAGGCCCCCTGTACACTGCTTATCAGTGGTGTGCAGCCCAAGGCTACGCTATCTCCTTCATCCGGGATGAGTCGTCATTTGGAGGGAATGTCTGTGCATAGTGTTGTGCCACACTAAGCAAAGTGAGAAAACAGTCTTTAGTCTTGTATGTGTGTATGTGTGTGAAAACAAGGCACAAGGTGCAGAACCACTTTCTTCGGGTTCTGGCAGCGACTCCTGGGGTTCGCAGCTTCTGGACTCAATTCCTGCTGTGTCTATTCTGCAGCCTTGCTCTTACATTGCTTGCTTGCCTCTAAGGGATGGTTGTGTTGACCAGCTGGCTCATGAGAGCTCGCAAGAGCCCATGGTCCACTTCTCGGGTGGGGGAAACATGGAAGGCTGCCGGGAAACGTTACTTGCAGGTGGTGCCTTGGCCTGTGTAGAGTAAATGAGGTCCTTGTGCTCTCTACCTTTGTTCTCTGCTCTCAAAACGTGTCCTGAATTTTAGGCATCGGCTGGCGATGTTCTTCAACAGCTCTTCTCAGAAGCCATTTTGGCGGAGTGCTTCCCTCAGTGTGTGAGAAGCTCTCCCCAAATCTCTCTCTCTCTCACTTTACTTTCGCTCTCACCATGCAACTGAAACCTAGGAACGACATCATGCTGAGCGACGACCCGCAGCAGAATTTCGAGAACGTTATCTCGATATTGGACTCCTTGTGCTCGCAACTTGTTTGCATTCTTTTCTTTGCAACAGTATTTCATAACGTGTGTCTCTACTCAGGGACTGCACATACTCAGGAACAATGGGGCAACACACAAGCCGTCGAGGTGGTGCAGCTGGGGATTCCTGGCTGGCTCGTATGGTCGGAACTACACTGCCACCCTGCTGGTCCTCACTTGGTGTGGGATCGAGGACACTAAGCTGCAACTCTAGCCAGTTACATGGGTAAAACATATGTTTGTCACATCTGATCTTTTCCTAGGAAGGCCGAAACCCATTTGCAGTATGGGGGCACGCCAAATCCACTGGTGATTTCGACAAAGTGGTCGATATGTGTGTGAAGGCCAGGGTCCGGTCTTTGGACTTTCTTTTAAAATCTTTTCCGACAATGGTCACACATCCTTTGAACAGGCTCTGTTGGACGAGCTGTCGCACAGTTTGTTCAACAGTGTCGCAAACCTTATCCGGCCCTGGTGCAGCATGGCTTTGTGGCTGGCTCCGAAGCTGCAAAGGATTTCGCATAGATGACTGCATCAGTGTTGATTTCTGCCTCGCTTCTGTTTCTTGTGCTGCAAACTAAGCAATCGAACAAATCGGCAAGCATGGCCCTGCACAAGCACACCCTGCACTGCAACAGCTGGAAATTTGAAGAGGAGATTCAAAAGGCTTTGGACGCAGGATTCGGCCCCGAGTCCATGAAAAACCTCCGGCTCCAGAGCGATCTCCGTGCTGTTGTACGAGAACAGAACCAGGACCGAACATGTACAGCATCAGGTCATATAGTTCGGACACAAGTCTTTTAGTCTTCGATGTTCTGAATCACTCCGAGTAAACACCGAATGAACACATTCTTGCACGCTTTGCAAGCATCCGTGCTCGAGGGCTCCTGTTGGCCTCCTAGCAAGCTCGGCCATGGAAAACGAGCCGACACCTCGCCGACTCAGCCCCCAGGAAGTGGAGCAGAAGAGATTGCGTGTGATACATGCAACGAAGACAGAGGAGCAGTACAAGTACGACTTCGTGCACAAGATGCTGTCCCAGCATGGCCCACCTGACTTAGATGACCAGTCGCTCCCAAAGACGCCCAATTACCACCACTCGATACCGAAGAGGAAATGGGAGACTGCTATGTTCAGATGGAAACAGCAGCTTCGATCGTATGCTTGGTTCTTCACCGATTCTTGGACACACAACGACAAGGACGTGTTCGGCTGATTCCACAGCCTCTCCACATACTTTCCGCAAGCTCATGTTAATTCATAGCTGAGCTACGCCCAGCCTATTCTGGGACGAGACTCAGCAAATTCATGAGCACTTAAGGTGCAGAAGCCCTCGACATCAGGCAAAAGTATACGACCAAAAAGAGCACTGAACCCTAACCCCAAAACCCTCAACCCTATGCACAGCCGGGATCGACGTTCTGATGCTCAAACTTGTGTTTCCCGAAGACTTGCCTTAAATCCTTGGGTATCTTGCTCCTGATCGAATCTTTGTTAAGCCAAGCCACTGATTTCGAAAAGTAGGCACGGCAGCCCGGTTTAGGGTTTTGGGTTTAGGGTTTAGGGTTCAGGGTTTAGGGTTTTAGGGTTTAGGGTTTACTATTTTGGGTTTAGGGTGTACGGTCTGTAGCGACTGAAACATTCATGGTACTTTTCTTTTGGCCTTCCCCAACTTTTTGGAAAACTAATTCGGTGCCCTTAAGTTGCAGGTCCTGGAAGTGACTTTGAGAAGAACTCCGGCGACCGAGCAGATGATTGAGGACCATTTGCTGTGCACCCTCGCATGTGTCGAGGAGATGGTTTTGTATGGCTTGTATCTTCAGAGCTGCCCTTCGAAGGGGGCAGCCCTCTTGGTTGAGACCCTTGAAGGGTCCCGCGAACAGCAGGTGCAACAAAGGATCCAGGTGGAGATGCGAGAAGAATGGACAATGATTGTGCTGATGGAAAACAATGCACAGCACAAAGACTTGCTTCACAAAGCCTGCCCCTTTCTCGGCTATTACCACGTTCGCGAAATTTATGAGGCGCTGGCACAGGACGGCTGGAAACTGGGCGAAAGATCGAGAGGGGTGCTCGCAGCATGGTATCCGAAATTCGGGTTCAGCAGCAATGTTGAAGACATTTTCTCCAACATTGAAGATTCGTGTCGACGAGGCAGCAAGAACAACACTGCCAATTGCAGCAATCTGCAATGCATCAGCATCCGAGCATTGAATCGCACAGTTTGCAAGAATGATCGGAAAGAAGATGGGCCGACGCCTGTGCACCTATCGAGCGAAGATTTCGAAGGGTCGGAAGTGAGGAGTTTAAAACCCAAGCTCTGGAAGCCCGATTCTTTTGTCTCCCGACTCTTGTTTGCATTTGCCTTCGGAACGAACATAAACAAGACTTGTGTTTATGGCTTCGAACCAGAAGTATATCCTTAACAACCCAAAAATAGCACAGCCGAGGTGGAGATCTCAACCTGGAAAACATTCTCAAGACCTTCGACTCCACCAGCCCGTTCCATCAATGCAAAACACAGCTCAACTGGTTGAGAGGATTCTCGCAGGCGCGAAAGTTTCTTGGCCGCTTTCGTCCAACACAACACTTCAAATCAGTCATTCCTTGACACAGCAAAGGCAGCGAATTGATCCAGAAGAAGCAGCAAGCCAGTTTTGGGTAGCCAGCACATGCCAGACGGGCCAAATGGTCAAAGTGTCCGGGAAATTCTACATGGTTGTGGGAAGCAACCCTGCAGTTCTGCATGTGTGCTGGTAAGATTACTACCTTTTTGAGCCTTATGTCCTGTGTCGCTAAGTACAAATGTTTAGTCTTTGCCTTACATCGAACACTTCTGAGGTGCTTCCGCTTGCCGAGTACAATGCTTCTTTCCATGGTCAGCTTCCTGCCGAAGTTGCTGACGAAGCACACTTCCCAGCCGATACGAACTTGCAGCGAAAGATCGACCCTCTGAGCCCGGGGGAAAACGTGCAGTGCCTCACCTTCAAGAAACAACAGAAACCCGATCTGATGAGCAGCATTTTACTTGATTTGTCCAAAAGAAAGCCTGGCCTCAGAATGAAGTGCCAGCTATGATTACTGTACTGTTGCTTGGCACGGAGCTTTCAGACTTTTTTCTTGCAGCTGCAAACGAGGAGACCTGTGGAGATTTTGATGCCCAAGCTGGGCGAGGCGAATATGGAAGAAACAGACTCATGTACAATCTAAGCTATCTGCTTTATTCTGTGGATAAACAGTATTCGCAACCATCTAAGGTCGAGGTTTTCCCATACTCCGTTCACTTCCTGGAAGGGCCCCTGGCCCACAAGCTCGGCTTCTGTGTCATGCTCCGGAGATCGGTTATGGGTCGCTCTCTTCTGGTTGATCTGGTGAAAACAAGAAAGGTGATCAAGCTCACCGCGGCTGTTTTGCAGCAGCTGCTTTCCTCGTTTGGAGTGGCCTCGAGAAAGAATGCCACCAAGAGCTTCAAGATCAAGCTGCTTCTGAAAATTCCCGAAGTCGAGCAAAGCTGCTCCAAACAAGAGCTGGATGATTTGATAAAGTTTTTGGACAACATGGACAAGAAAAGGGCCCAAAAAAATCACAAGAACGACGACGCAGAGGAGGAAGAAATCGAGCCGGACAGCCCCAACCCAATGTGCATTTTTGAACCTGCTGGGTTTAGGGTTTGGGGTTTAGGGTTTAGGGCTTAATTAGGGTTTAGGGTGTAGGGTTTGGGGTTTTAGGGTTTTAGGGTTTTAGGGTTTTAGGGTTTTAAGGTTTTAGGGTTTTAGGGTAGGGTTTTAGGGTTTAGGGTTTAGGCTTTAGGGTTTAGGGCTAAGGGTTTAGGGTTAAGGGTTTAGGGTTTAGGTTTAGGTGTTAGGGTTTCGAAAAAGATCTCCAGGAGCTGCAGAGCGAAATGTTCGGTGTACCAGATCCGGAAGTGGAGCTGGCGCAAAAGATGCTGGATGAGATTGAGAAAGAGGACGAGCAGGCCTGTGGGCTTCACATCACGATGGTTTGTCAATAGAAGTTCCTCAAAACATAGGCACTAGGAACAAAACCCCGATAAAAGATTGCACAGGGCCTGTCCCTTGGGCATTCCCTGTCGCACTGTGTACTCAGGTGGTGCCCCTTCACCACTGAACATGTATAAGCCGGTTTACCCCCATCATATTTGCAAGCAGACAGGCAATGGACAAAGACGATGCTGAGAAAGACTTGCCATCGGGTTCACAAGCTCCATCTTCAGGAGCTGCAGCAGGCGAGAATCAGGCTGGCAATGGGGCTGAGACTCTGAGGAACAGCAGACGACTGCTGTCGAGTGTTGAGGCAGTTCCAGAATGGCTCAAGCAGAGATACCCGATCAGTTCCGAGCACACCACTGTGCATGTGGTGCATGTGACACAGACACTGCCTCACTTTCAAGTTCGTTTGGGTGCGGGCAAGCGATTCAATGGCCAGAATCTGGGATTCAAGAACCGCTTTTTTGTTTACTATTGCTAATCGCCTAGCATTGACCACATGCAAGTAATGAACTGTTTCTGAAAATCAACAGCGACGAAGGCTTTCGACGAGTGCTTCGTACAACCCCGGCTTGCAAGAAGATTTGCTGGACACTTCAAAGGACACGATTTCAAAGATCCAGGCCAAGAACCGGAGCCAGCTCCAAGCCTGGTTTATCGTGTACACTTGGGCCAGGAGTGCCGACAACCAAGTCAAGAAGCGAAAGCGATAGCAGAGGGCAATGGAAAAAATCCGAATAGCTGATGGAGAACAGGTTCTTAGGACCTACTCAAGGGAAGGAATTGCATGTGTTGTGGTAGCGGCCAACTAGGCAGTGACCCACTCAGGAGTTTCGGCTTCTCACACAAGTAGATCGAAGGAGAACCCCATGCAACAGTTGAAGCAGAATGATGATTTGAGGCAGGAGGGTATCTGAGGTAGAATGGCAATGGAGGTCTATGATTTGGGGTTCGGGGCTTAGGGTTTGGGGTTTTGGGCTTAGGGTTTGGGGTTTTGGGTTCGGGGTTTCGGGTTTGGAGGCCACCAGGCAGGAGGGATATAGTTGTTATAGTCAGCATCCATGCGAGTAATAAAGACGCGCCAGACATGCACTCAGCAATGTTAGTAGGCGACTACGCGCAATGTCATATCCTCAAAAAACACATAATTTCTGAACCCTAAACACTACTTCGTATAGGGTTCTTGGCTCCGCAGTAAAAAACCAGGGTAGGGTGCCATCGGGCCCATAAGGCTCCAGGGCTTAGGGCTATAGGATTTTGGGCTTTTTGGGGGGTGGTTTGGTTTCAGAGGGTCTGTTGTGAAAAAGACAGAGAAGCCTTCATCTGAGCCCAAGAGTAGGCCCTAGAAAAAGAAGAGGGTACCCCACCTTGCGTCAAGGGGAGTTGTTCAGGGACCCCAATGCAGACAAACCCCAAACTCTGCACCTTAAACCCTCAAAAACAAGAACAACAAAGAAGCAAATAAGGGCCCACCCTGTACAAACCCTAAACCCTAAACCCTAAACCTTATCCCCAAACCCGAAATCGAAAAAAAGTCCGAGCGGCATCGGAGAAGGCGGCAGGCTTGTGCTGCA